CCTATTATCTATGTATTATCTTTTTATCACCTATTTTCTGTCAACCAAATATATTATCTATCTAGTCTATCTATCTATCTGTCTATCTATCTATCTATCTATCTCTCTATCTATCTAACCATCTGTCCATCATCCATCAACATGCCAATCTCTCAATCTATCTATCCATGTAGTAGCTATACAACATAATGAAGCACAAGGGTAACAGACAGAAGGGTTGAACAGTGAACTGTGTGACACACACCTCAGGGGCTTGTATCCTTGGACATTTTTTTAAAATTCGATCACAAAACACTAAAAAACTCTGCCAATCACATAAGGTATAGAGGAGAAACTATGAAGGACTTCTTGCCTAGAGCCCACCTTCTGTACTGTGAGGGACATGTGGGAAGGGGTGTGGATCAGTTACCTCAGTCTCAACAGAGAGGACTTTTGGTCACTTGAAGAGTTTCCTGTTTAGGTCTCTGCAGTTGACATCTGGTGACAGCCCAGGATTCTTGTGGGCAGTGAAAGAAGGGCTTTGGTAGCTGAACTGAAGAGAAACGCTATTGCTCTGGTCCAACTGGCACCACCTACAGTCTGCTTAACCCAAGAATGGCCAAGCACTTTCTGTGGCCAGAAGTCAGCCATAAAGGTAGAATCAGTGAGAACCCAGACTCGTCCTGCATAGCCCTAGAAGAGGCAGATGACAGGTAGACAGCACCTGAAAACTTACCCACCAAACCAAAGGACACATGCTGGAATAGTCAGGGTCCATCTGGGTCCCAAAGAGTGCACTGCAGACATTCCCAGCCTCTCTCACCAACACTTGGCAGCAGGGGAAGGTCAGGAGGAGGGAAATGAACCCCCATATTTCTTTGTGGCATGTCACCAAGCTGAAGACAGGAAATCCATGCCACTTGAAGTTGCATTGGCATTTGGGTACTGTCCAGGACTGGACATTTCAAGCATCAGGCTGCTGCTGTGGGGTGGGCTAGGGTGACAAGAAGACTTGTCATAACCCAGGGTGTCCTGGGAGGCCTGCTGCCAGCTCACCATCTTGTTTGGGATAGGGAGGGATGGGAGGGCAGGTAAGCAAGAACATGGGAAATGAGGATGGAGTCTGAGGCTAATCCCTGCCTCCTGCTGTTCACATCTGAGTGCGTGTGTGTGTGTGTGTGTGTGTGTGTGTGTGTGTGTGTGTGTGTGCACATGTGCAAATGAACCACATTCATGGCTACACTTTGATAGTGAGGCTACATCCAGTGTTTATTTCCAATTCTCAACACTTCCCTATTTCCACCATTTCTCACAAGGGATATGTATTCCTTCTATACTCAGAAAAACATTAGCAAATGTTATTTTAACAGAGGAAGTTGGTCTCCGGAAACTCCCTAATCCATGAAAGATATCATTTGCAGTCAGAATGAGCATCACCCATTGCATGCCCAGTGCTGCCAAAAGAACCAGCCACGTTCTGACATCTGTGCAGGAACTCCTGGGGAATCAACTCTGCTCCCAGGGGAGGAGGGAGGAAGTGAGAATTGGGTATTTTGTTGTTTCTCTTGTAAACATGCTTTGCAGTCATATCCTTTTCCCCTTCCCTTCTCCATTTAGTCACAGTGTTGGCAGCACAGGATGGCTTCCCCCCAGCTCCACTCCACTGGCCCATTCTCTAGGCAACTTGCCAACCAAACTTAACATTAGGACCATGGCATCTGGGGGAGTGGATCCAAGGGAAATAGCAAGGCAAAGAATTCAAAATAAATGTGGAGGTCACACACAAAAATCTCCCCCCACCCCTTGGACCACTGAGCAGTTGGAAAGAACTTTATAACAAAGCCTTTTTCAGTTGTTTGATTGAGGTTGAACACAGAGATGCCACATGGTAAACACAAACTTTATTGAGCTATATATACTCCGGACCCCTAGATCTTAAAAGCATGTTGAAGAAGAACTTTCTTCTAGAAGCAAACCAACTTTATAACAATATCTTTAGGAGCAAGGGGGGAAACGCTTGGGTTTTTGTTGTTGTTGTTTTCAGTCTTAGCAAAGAAAGAATCGTGTCCTGCTGAAGCCACCGTCTTTCCTCTGAGAAGCCTGGCAAGTGGAGAGATAAGAAAAGACTGTCGTGCCAGGCTACCCAGAGCTTTGATGACGTCTCCTAATATTCTGAATGGTGAAATGGTAAAAACGTGGGCTGGATGATAATAGCTGGGGAATTCCCAGCTGGTCGGTAAACCTTGTGAGTCACCTTGTAAGGCTCGGCGATAAAGAGATCTTTACTGTAGTTTTTGATCTGTATATTTATATGGAGTGTATTATGGTTTACCAAGTAGTCTTGGGAGACCTATTACTTAATTTGGAGTCCTGTGAAAAAGTATTTATTTTTTTTGATGATAAATTTAAAGTGAAACTAAGAGATATAGAACAAAAGGGATGGGGGGGGTTCAAAAAGAGAACAAAACAAAGGACAGAGAAGGAAGGAAGCAGTCCTGCCATCTGAGCAAACCAAGGCCCTGGGCTACACTCGTGAAGCCACTCTTAAGAGGAACGTCCACAAACTGAGGTCACAATGAAATGGGTAGACAGGAAGGGGATGTTTCCAGAGCTGAGGGTATTCATGGTGGGGAGGAGGCGTCAGTAGTTGCTTCATATATTTGAATAGCCTCCATGTTAAACGACTGTAACACATTTCAGAGGCACAGAATGGGCACCAGTGTCTGGAAGCTTCAGGATGAGGATGTGAGTTGAAAGAATGGATCTACACAACTCAGTGTTTGGGAAGATGCACCAGAATTCCTAGGACTGCTAACGAGAGGCAATGTGGAGCCACTTAGAGAACAGTTTGGTCCCGATGTTGATGACCATATATCCCATGATTCTCCCATTTTACCCCTTGATGTTCATGTCTGGGAGAAGATCCTCACTTGTACACCTGGACACAGGTACATGCGTGCTCACAAAGGCGAGATCAGGAAACAGTACAAATGCTTATCCATGGAAGGGTAGATGTGCAACATGAAATATCACACCAGAGTCAAGTGCATTATTTATATAATACTGAGTGAAAAAAGTTCCCAGATATAGCAGACAATGTGATATCTCTTTATCCAGTGAAATGACAGGAATTAAAAATGCCTTTTGCCTATATATAGATGCACTAAAATTCTTTTCATTTTTATTGTTTTGGTGTTAGGGATTGAACCCAGAGCCTTATATAGGCTAAGCACAGGCTCTACCACTGAGCTATATCCTCCAGCCCCTCAAAATATATTTTAAAGAAAAGGTCACACTATAGCCCAGATGGTCCTTGAGCTTCCTCCTGCCTCAGCCTCCCAAGTGCTGTGATTGTCTCTGAAATTCCTCATAAAGATTGGACAATGAAGAATTAGATGATTCTCCCCATTGGCAGAGGCCAGGAAAGAGGATGTGGGAACAGGCAGCATGGTTAAAACTTGAGTGATGAGTTTACAAAGGTTTGTCATATTATTAAAAAGAACTTGGGGCTGAAGAGATGGCTCAGCAGTTAAGAGCACTGGCTGCTCTTGCCGAGGACCCAGGTTCGATTCTCAGCACCCACATGGCAGCTAACAACTGTCCATAGCTCCAGTTCCAGGGATTCCAATGCCTTCTTCTGACCTCTGAGGCACTACACAACACAGATGCACTTATATACATGCAGGCAATAAAATACATAAAATAAAATATAAAATATTTTTAAAAGAACTTAGCTAATTGTGTGTGTGTGTATGTATGCATGTGTGTGTGTATGCAAACATGTGTGCATGCATCTGCTTTTGAAGCCAGTGGTCGACACCATCTTCCTCTATCAATTTATACCTTTTAAAAAAATTTTATTTTATGTAAATGAGAGTATTTTCTGCATGTAGGTTAAGTGCACCTGTGTCATGCAGTGCCTGAGAAGGTCAGAAGTGGGCATCAGATCCCTTGGAACTGGAATTATGGATGGTTATTAACTGCCATGTGGGTGCTGGGAATCGAACCTGGGTCCTCTGCAAAAGCAGCCAATGCTCTTAACCACTGAGCCATCTCTCCATCCCCTTAAGATTCATTTTTATTTTTATGTGTATGTGTATGCCCTTAGAGGTCAGAAGAGGGTGTCAGATCCCCTGGAGCTGGAGTTACAGGCAGTTGTGAGCAGTCTGATGTGGGTGCTAGGAACCAAACTCAGGTCCTCTGAGAGAGCAGCCTGCTCTCTTAACTGCAGAGCCATCCTTCCAGCCCCTATTTTATTTTTTGAGACAAGGTCTCTTACTGAACATAGAACTCATCAATTTGCTAGACTGGCTGGCCAGTGAGTCTCTAAGACACACTTCTTTCTGCCTCCTCAGCACTGGAGTTACAGATGTGTATCACTCTATCTAGCTTTTTGCTTGGGTGCTGAGGATCAGAACTCAAGTCCTGATGCTAGCTTAACAAATACTTTACCACTGAGCCATCTCCCCTGTCGACTAAGCTAGTTCCTTTATCTTTATTGAGTTCTTCAATTTTCTTGTCCAGATACGTTCTTTTTAACAACCAGTCCATGTATACATCCATGATCAAAGACCATACTAAACCAATTCAAATCTGTGTCCCCAAGACCCGTTTGAGAGGGAGAAGGGAAGTAAAAAAGGAAGAAACTGAAACCGAATGAGCAGCTTTGTGACCCTGTGAGCAAGCTCATCACCCTAGTCATTCAACCTCAAGCCAGTTGGCACCCACAGCAGTATGGGTGTGCCAGTTGTCAACAAGCCCCCGCCCTACTCCATGAGGAGGTGAGGAGATTTTCATCAGTCTGTGTTCTGCAAGCTGTGCCACACAAATCCTGGCATGGGCTGTTTGTCAGAGGATAAACCACCCTCCCCTTTACGGAAATGTGCTGTCCCTTGTTCAGCTTCAAGTCTCAACCCAGAGAGAACACACTATTTTCATCAAAAGAGGGGTAAGACAATGTGAGAGATAAACAATGCCTAGCTAGTTTTAAAAGCCAGAGGGAACCATATTAGTCTAACAACCTACTGACAAATTATACATACCAGATCAAGAAATATATGTCTAGGCAAGGTTTATCGGATAACAACTGGTCTCTGCCCAAGATTTATCTACATGACACACAGTAATTAAAAGTACCAGACTGGTGGATCTAACCTTCATGGATGTTTAACAGACATACTTTGAGGCCTATACTAATTTGGTCAGAGGGACATAAAGGACAGTTTTTGCTCCTTGCCCTCCTAGGTCTACTAGTTCCAGGGGACTATGAGCATCTCCCAAAATGTCCTGTAATTGTGGTGGGTCACCTGTCCTCTTGATCAAGAAGGCTGAGGAGACCCCACGAGATGGACATGAACCAGTGTCCAGTCTACAAAGAGGAGGGTCAACAGAGAGGAATCATTTCCTCCATGCTTCCAAGCAAAGCCAGCCATGGTCGTGCAGGACCTTTGACATAGGTGGAACTGGTTAAAGAAAGGAGCCAGGGGCTCCTCCCAAGCCCATGTGACCCCTGAGGAACAGATCCTCAAACGACCTTAAGAGTAAAAATAAATCCATATTTATAGCTAAAGGCTACATAACAAGCAACAATGCCAGACAGGGGATTCCTTCTTTTGAGCTGTTGGCCAGGGTGGCCAAAGGGACTCCCAGATAGTAACCCAGCATAGAACTGGGAAAATGAACAACAGATCCCAATCTTATCTAAAGGAATATTGACAACTGATTGCTGCTAGATGAGGAACAGCTCACCTTCCTAAAACAAAGACCTCTAGATAGGCTGACTAGATTCACCAGATGGACAAGTAGTGGGGAATGGCTGGGGGTGCCGACAACACAGCAGACAGCAGCAGGGATAACAGAGTACAAGGGATCTAGTGGGGGGAGGGAGGCTATGGGAGAGTGCCATCTGGGAAGTGGGTGTATAGTTGAATAAGATGGTTTGGGATGTTCTGTGTGATATATATACACACAGGAAAAAAAATCAACAAGTTAAAATATGTATTATATTTGAGGAGGAAGCATAAAAGTTTACATCATGCTAATTAGTAGAGGTGATAAACATTACCATTGAAATCTACCCAATGACTTTATAGACATACACAGGCGCCAAGGATCCAAGTGCAACCGATTATGACTAGTAATAATCAGATACATACAGATTAGAGATGCATGTGCCAACATCTCAGTGTTATGAGCAAAAACAATGAGTCTTTCTGTAAAAAACAATATATTTTAGAATGAGATGGAGATCTTTTTTGAGGGTTAAAAACTCATTCAATTTTATGTCTTATAGGGCTTATACTGAGTTCAATATTGTATAACTGTATTGATTCAACAGCAAACCTAGAAATTTTATAGCCACTTTTGAAGGAGCTGCATCTTTGCTCTAGAAACTGTTATTGGGCATGTCAAAGCTGTAATGATATGCTTCTTCTAAAAATAATAATAATATTAAAAAATGTAGGAAAGAGCATATCTTGAAATGGAGATCTTCTTTAAAGGGTAAAAACTCATTCAATTTTATATCTTACAGGGTTTATACTGAGTTCGATATTATATAACTATTAATTC